GTACCGGATGTTCTGATTTCAACTCCCATGGACTGCCACTCTAGGTTCCTGAGTAAGACCCTTAACCCCACACTGCTCCCTGGGCGCCCCATGATGGCAGTCCACTGCTTGGGTTAAATGCAGAGAGTTAATTTCGTTGCTTTGTACTCTGCCAGTGCAATGACAATAAAAGCTGGAAAAGATTAAACACAGCTTGATCACAATGTCAACAAGTGACGATTAACTCTGGCAAGCAGTTGATGTCCCTAAATTGTAAACTGCAATTGCAAAAAAATGTAAATTTAAGTGAGCCAATTTTTCTAAAATGTTCCATATTCCCTTGATATTAGCAGATAAAAATGATTTATGTTTACATTTAAAAATAAGCTCCATTATCTTATTTCAAAATCAAATGTTTGTTTTTTAAGGGCAAAAATACCAGTTCCATCCCCTATTGACCTGCTCACATTTAGGCCAAATACACTTGGTTTGACATTTAAACTCTTTTTTAAGATCTTTTCTTTCAGTGCTTCAGCTAAATCCAAGCAAAACTGATGTAATATATATTTTCCACCGCAGGGAAGAGCTTTCAAAAGAGAGGTAGCATGATAAACATGATTTACATAGAGTGGAGCTCAAGCTAGAGCAGAACAAGCGTTGATCATAAAATTCACTTTCGGTTGTCTACAAATGGGGAAAATCACAGCTTTGGGAAATTCCTTCCCGGTGGAAACGGGACAAACAGCTCGCAGGCTGGCTGGCTGGGATCTGTGGCAGTTTATTAATTCTTTTTTTTTTATTCTAAATGCAGGTTCTTCAGAACATGGTGCACTGTGCAGACCTAAGCAACCCTACCAAACCTCTTGAACTGTACCGTAAGTGGACTGATCGCATCATGGTGGAGTTTTTCACTCAGGGGGACAGAGAGAGAGACAAAGGAATGGAGATAAGCCCCATGTGCGACAAACACAATGCCTCCATAGAGAAGAATCAGGTATGTAGTAGAGAGCCTTCAATAGAGGAAAGCATGCTAGGGACACTTAGCATGGGGTTAGATAACTGTCAACAAAAACAAATGCTTGGGTGTCTAAATATCCTAAAATAGGTTAGTGTGAATACATTTAAGATTTGTATTTTCGTTTGAGAAAATACTTGCTACAGAGCAACAGTGCAACAGGTACAAAGCGGAGTGGCAGCCTAGTGGTTATAGCATTGGAATCCAGAGGTTCAGAGTTCAAGACCCACTCGCACAGAATGCCACTCTGTGTCCCTGAGCAAAATGGCAAAATGGCAGCCCACTGCTCCCAAATAGATGGGTTAAATGCAGGGGTATGGAAATAAATCTGTGTCGCTGGGATTTGAATTAAAAATGCCACTGAAATTTAAATGTTGTATGTTTGTACTTACTGTTTCAGTGTTAAAATATATTCAGAACACATTTTTGACCTAAAAAAAAATGTATTGTCATTATTTCTACACAGTTCAAATTTCATGTTATTTTCTCTTCAAGCTAAAAATTTACATTACTTTTTTAAAGTGATTACATTTTCAATACTTATTTTCAGTTTAATTTTTCAGTGTTAAAAAAATCTGCATATAAAAAAATTCAACCTTTCAAAATTCAAACTCAATATTTTCAGCCTCCTGAGATTCAACTGGCTCTATTTCACCGTCTTAAATTCGGCGTCTAAATTCAGTGTAAAAAGGGAAGGGTTACTTCAGGTCACAGATATTAGCAATGGATTGTGGCGTCCAACACCCAGCCAATCCCGTTACGGTTTCTTAGTCACTTGACGTGACACTTGTGGCGCTCATACTGAAGGAAATGACGGAGCCGGTCATGAAAGCTAACGCTAACTCAACGGTGAGTTTATTACTTTCATTTTTCTGTAGTTGAGTTAGCGTTAGCTTGCATGACCGGCTCCGTGATGCTGGTTTTCCTTCTGTATCAGCGCCACAAGCGTCACGTCACGTGACTAAGAAACCGTAACGGGATTGGAAGTTTGAATTCTGAATATGACCTGACTTCTCCTTTAAGCTGACGGACATTTTCTGAAATACATTTACAAAGTCAGACACCTATGCACGTTTTTATTGAGTGTTTTCCACTGTGCAAAGAATAAACTGACTAACATTTGGGGTTCGTTTTCAGGTTGGTTTCATCGACTACATCGTTCATCCTCTCTGGGAGACGTGGGCTGACCTGGTGCATCCTGATGCTCAGGAGATCTTGGACACATTGGAGGACAACAGAGAATGGTATCAGAGCATGATCCCTCGAAGCCCCTCACCCAGCCCAGATGGGCAGGAAGAGAGCGGCTCTCTGGAGGAAGCTTCCGCAACCGGCTGCGGCCCAGGCTCCACCACAGCTGAGAAGTTCCAGTTCGTTCTGACCTTGGAGGAAGAAGGCGAGTCTGACACAGAGAGCTTGCCTGAAGAAGAGAGGGGCCGAAAACATGGCGCCGCATTTGAATCAGGATCCGTCTCAACACGACGGCTCAACAAAATCCTCACCAGTGACTCGGGCAGGACATTTTCTTTGGACTCTGAGAAGGATATGGCAGAAGACAGAGAAACAGACCAAGAAGGCCTCTCTGAGGTCCCGCGTTTCAGACTCGGCACATAGCACCACCCACAGAGGTGTCCCTCTAGTTCTTCTTTATTTCATACAAATCAATGTCAGTTCCTTGGCCTCTGTCACTGTTCTTCCCTCACTTTAAATTGGACGCCATCTTTTTCTGGGTTCCCTCAAACGGGAAGACAGTAAGGCTCAAGGTTGTGGGGAGCATAACGAGGGTGTGCAGCTCTACACCGTGGTCACTTGCACTGAAAAAAAAAGCAATAGATCTGAACACCGTTCCATGAAGGACATAGAACAACTTTCCTACCTGTCAGTTGTGTTCTCTGTTTTCATTAACGAAGACAAGTAGAAAAAAAAAAACACATCCTAGCAGCGACTCAAAGCTCTACGAAGACTAAAGACAGAGAAGTCTTTTGAAAATTCGTAATGGAACTGAAAAACTGAAGGATCATTTTTGAAAAGGTCTATTCAGACTTCTTGCCATGCAGGCTGTGAGGACAATGCCATTACTGTGGCGTTTTACCCAGAATGTTGTCGTGTTTCTTATCCTTATTTATACACCTGTTAGAGATTCGGTCCAAACAGAAGACAGAAGAATGACGTTATTGGAGTAAAAGGACATGGAGGAAGACGAACATGTGGAAAACTAAACGTAGCAAATGTTTGGACTGATTAATTTACTGTAACCATACTGGCACACCAATGCTTGTTTTTGCTTGTGATGCACACTGCTGTCTTGTTTTGTTTATCAGACAGGTAGGATCTTTATTATGTTTTTAATTTCTATTTTATAGCCCTAAACTAGGACTTTTTTTTATTTTATCCAAAGACTAACAAAGCTACAGTAGTAGCCATTCAAAATGGCCACTCCCTGTCAAAGGGCAGCCGAACTGCAGCAAAACCCACTCCAACTTTCAGCCACTGACTCCACTGAATTACAGGGTCTGACTAGGAGATGATGCTTCTCTTCAGATCTTAATCTCCACAAATCATGACAGAAAGAATATTTTAGATGTTAAAAAAAGGAAATAGGGGACTAGCCAAGGTACAGCCAAGGGCCCATCAAGGAAAGTTGTCTGTTAAGGCGTTATATCCAAGGACGTTTAGGAAAAGCAGGTGCTGCCTCCTAGTGTCTGAACATGGAAACTATTGGGTCTGAACCAAAGTTTTGCTTTAAAAATGTTATCAGTTTTTTTTTCTTTTTTTAGTAAGTTTTCAAGTTTTTATTCCTTTGAAAATAGAAATTTACATTCTAGAAGTTTGGCTAAAATGTGTGTCTCTTGTCCCATTTGCGGAGTTTTATTTTTATACACTAACAAGCACTGATAGTCATTTTTAAGGGCTTAAGCCAAAACAGGAACACGCTGATGGCAATCAGCAAAAAATGTCAAACTCTTAGCTCTGCATTCAAGTTTTCTTTAGTCATCTGTTTTATTTCTATTTTTATTTTAAACAACTCGACATACTAGATTGATGTAGCTGAAACAAACCCCAAAGGGGAAACCAACAGAGAGTTAACTATGCCACATTTTTGCTCTTTTTTTCCCCTCTCATAGATCAATATTTTTCTCTTTTGAGGGGAAACAGTCAATGATACCAAACAAGTGCCAAGCAAGCCTGACAAAAGCAGTACTGTAATTTCCATTTTGCCACTGGCTACTTTCCATCAGCAGCTGATAAAGCCGGCCAATTGTAGCGCTCTGTGTGCCAACCGGACCTTACTGTCTGTGATCAGTTTTTTTTTTTTTTTACTCCTTTTCAGTTCACTGAATCTGACATTGTCTTAAAACAGTGATTTCATTTTGTGATTGATTTTATTTGGTTGACATTTTTAGTTTATTATTGTTTTGTGTTGTTGGTTAAACCAAATGCACTTTGAATGGTACTTTTGCAGTTCTGCACTTTCAGTGCACTTAAACATGTATAACATGACCATGTTACTGTTTTGTCAAGCGGGGGTGTTATTGCAAGAGCTGGAGCACTACGGGTGTTAAAGTGATGACGTCGTAGGGACTTCTTTAAAGAACTATATAAAAAAAAAATGTGTTATGTGCATCGTTGGTTGAAGGATTGTTTATTATGGATTGCGTATGTTACATTTGTTTTATTTTGTTACCATTAAAATAGTAAGTTATGTTTTAATTTGTTAATAAGCTACACGTTTCTATGGAAGCCTTATTTTAATTTGATATTTGATTTTCCGATTAGATATGCTCTATCTGTAAATCCTAAATAACACCTAACGCTCCAACTCTCAAGGGTGCCTTCAACACTAAGGACTATTATAACCCTTTGTTAACCAGCACAATAATATGCAATGATTAAACCCGACTACCGAAGTGATTTTTTTTGTATTTTCCTCACAGAGATCCATGTGCAATGTATTTTTCTGTGCTAAGTGTTTGCACAATGAGACGAATGGACAGTGCCTTAGTGAAGGCTCACGTGCGTTCATGTAAAATGAGACAAACTGTGACTATTACTCTGACTATATTGTTTCTGCTTTTTTTCGTTTCGGTAAATCTGCTAATAATACAACTCATTTGGAAAGCTTTTGTTTTTCTGCAGAGTGACAGATTTTCTCCTGTGTTTTCGGAAGCATCTTAGTTCTGCTTTCTGTTTGCCCTGAGCTCACCATGTGGCTCATGAAGCCCATGCAGTATTTGTGCTGAATAAACACCTCGGTTTCATAGTGAATATAGAAATCCACATTCTGCCCCCCGTGTTTATTCACAGATCAAAAATAATACGATGACATGCTGCAGCTTTTGACAATCCAGACTCTGCTGTTTTAACACTGTGTGTGTTACTGCTCCTTCCAACTACGACTTTCTAATAAAGAAAAAATACTCTCTTTGATGACATGCTCTGCCAGGTTTTTCATTTGATCAAAAATATTTGAACATATATGTGCTGGTAGATACATAAATCAAGCATTACATTACTATCAGTTGAATAATAGATTGATGGCCATTCAGTGGTGGTTTGAGACTAATTTCACCAGGGTGGGGCCAGTGTTTTTCCATGCAAAGAGCAAAGGAAACAACAAAACAAAAGTGTAAAAGTTCATCATTTAATATATCAAGAGACCTTAAGGACTTTTACTCCTCTAAATACCCTGATCGAAAGAGATTGTAATACTATTTAGGTATAACTGAAGCTAAATATGTTAAAATTACCCTGAAGATTTAAAAAACAAAACAAAAAAAGTACCTTTGTCTAAGTCATCAATTACAGATTCTTTGCATAACAGAAACAGGCTCAAAATAGGACCCAGTATTCAAGGCGGACAAACAGATTTCTCAAAATGTTTATTAGAAACAAAGTGAGCAGCGTCTGTGTCTAATGCATGAACCTCTGCAGAACGAGACATCTCAGTGACCACGTCTTTCTGGAGGTGGATGATAATGAACAGAGAGTTCCTAACCTGGTCTTATTGTTCGGTCCGAGCCCAGAGGATCAGGTTGGTTCCAGCCGGTCGGCTGATAACACGATACGGCGGAGGCCACCCAGAGAGTTGCAGAAGCTGATGTCTCAGAGGTCAGGGGACAGGCAGGAGATCAGAACCGAGCAGACGAAGGTAGGCAGGATCATTCAGAGAGTGAAGCCAAAGTCCGTGTCAAAGACATGCTCGGTAGTCAGAGCCAGGAGATCAGAGGTCCGAAGAGGTACTGAAGCGAAATCCAGAACGCAGTCGGGCAACAATTCCAGGTTCAGTTCACATACAGGCAGAAATCCGGCAGTAGTCCGAAGACAGGTCAGGCAAACAGATCAGAATGGGGACAAGCAGGCTCAGACGTTCAGAGGCAGAATGGGTCAGGATCGGGCAATCAGAAAACACAGGTACGCAAGAGAACTCTCACCACAGTCTAGAATAATCTGGCACCGATGACTGGTCTGAAGGCTGGTTAAATAGAGGCTAAAGCAGATGGATCAGATGAGTGGTAATGAGAACTGGGCGGAGATAAGCAGGTAAATTTAGGTAATTTTATATTTTACCATGATTCGTTGTATATTGTGAACATGTGCAGTTCTAGACAGAGAGCAGGGGGACGTGTAAAACAGGTCCTGACCCCTGTACTAGAAACATATACTGTAAAAAATGAAAGTCGTTTTTTTTTCTTGCATTAAGTGTATTTTCTCTTGATTTGAGTCAGTCAATTTGCCAGTGGAATAATATAATAATATTATAATTTATGTTTGAAATAAGAATTCTATTTTTTTATTTCAAGGGCATCATATCTTATTATAAGGGGAAAAAAACTTATTCCTTTTGCACATCATATTATTTACCTTGAATTAGGGGCAAATGCACTGATTTTAATACATTTTTACTCACTTAAATCAGTTTTTTCAGTTTAAGATTAAATAAATTCTTATGATGATATGTGTGGATTACAGAATTACACAAGGGATTAATAAAGTAATTATGATAATGATTATGAAAAGACAATAACTGATTAATTCCTTCTGCTAATTAAATATTTTGCCTTTTTAATTTACTTATTAAGTATTAACTATCTATTTAAAAATTATAGTCAGCTTTAAGCTCCAGTAGTATTCTTATAGCATCACATTTATTATTTGGTAGCAGAGGGGGATTTACAATTAGGCAATACTAGGCAGTCGCCTAGGGCCCCAACTTCCTGAGGGCCCCATAAAACTCTGTTTAGATGTATGATTAATATAACTATTCCTTGTTTGCGCACATTAATTATGTCTTTTATTAAAAATCCTTTTGCTAAAATGCCATCAGAACGAATATTAAGTGTTAAAAATAACAAGTGCGTCTCAGCCCCCCCTTCATTTTCCATCA